GGTTGTTTTTCTTTTCTTTTTTTTTGTATATCAAAGCCTTCATTTTTTATATGATGACAAGCACCATTATTATAAATAATAAATGAAAATGAAAATTTTGAAAGATAAAATACAGTAACCAAAATATGTCAAAATACCAAAACGATAATTTTAAGACAAACCTGATAGACGACAAGCAAAAAAAAGTTAGCAAACCATCAAGACAACTTTTGTAATTTGTTTGTTAAAAACAATTTTTTTAAAAAAATATTTCAAGTAAATTAGATATTATATAAAACAATTATAATGTATAATAGAGTACAACGTATCATACACATCAATGTTATATTCCCTAAATTTATGGATGTAGTCTTTAAAAGAATTAGTTTTACAATACAAAAAGGTTTAGCGGCGCAGCTTGTTGCCCGTTTGTCATCTCACTCGGGTTTACATATGTATAATATAATTTTTATTTTGTAAATGACGATTATATATTGTGACAAAAAAACATGGTTAAAAAAGTATATTCAAACATATTTTTAAGTTTTTATATTTTCGCAATGACTTTTTAAATGTATAATTACAAACATGCATAACACACAAGATGTTTATTATACTATACTAATAACTAGTCGTGAGACTCATGTATTACATGGGTAAATTTAAAAAAAAAGTTAAATATAAAGGTCAAAATATTTGAAAACTTTGAATTTATAAGAAAATAAGAAAAATAATGAATTATTATAATGAAAATGTTTTTTTATCTTTTAAATTTAAACAAATAATTTAAATAAATAAACAAAAGAAACTAATGAGCTTTAATTTTGGGGATTTTAAAATTAAAAGGCAAGTTGATTAATAAAATTGATATACATTTATTACTACATTTATTGCAATTATTACATTAAAATATTATATGGAATTTAATAAAATAGAAAATCTCATAAAATGACATGTGGAAAAAAATTAATTCAAAATAACCACAAAATGACATTTGGCAAATTGAATGAGAGTGTAACAAGTGTCAAAAAAAACCTTCATTTAGGCTATACGGTATGGAGTTAAGGCACCTACGCGTGGGGCTTACGTGGCAAGGTCACCTACGCGTGAACATCGCCCCAGGCGCACGTAGGTGCCTTGTGGCGTGAGGCTGGCTACGGACGAAGACGAGTGATGCGATTGGTGGACCATTTTTTTGACCATTCTTTTTTCTTTCTTTTGACCGTTACCAAGTTAAAAAAAAATCAAAAAAAAAAACTTAATACACATATATAAATACATACACAACATAAACAAACACATTTTCATTCACATCACAAACATATTTCTATTCCCTCTTTCAAACATAGATATGAATAATTTTGCGGGTTCGATTGCTTCTTCTTCATCCGATGATGATAGCTCTGATGAAGATGACTTGGTGTTGCACACGTTGTTGTCTGCGGCACGCAATAGGGTGCAACAAAGAGGCGAAAGTTCAAATACCGAGAAGAGGCATAGAATTTTGATAGTTCGAGATCGTATGGCGGCACACGAGCTTTTGGTACGTGATTACTTTGCCCCTGACAGTTTGTATGACCTATCAAAATTTGAAGACCGATTTCGTATTAGTAGAAATTTATTTTTACGTATTTCTAGAGATTTGGAAAACAATTCTGAGTTTTTCCAATTGAGATGGGATGCAAGAGGTAAACGTGATTTTAGTACCCTACAAAAATGCACAACAACCCTTAGACAATTGGCATATGGCATAGCAGTAGATGCTTCAGATGAGTATCTGAAAATGTCCGAGAGGACTGGGCGAGAATGTGCTTATCTTTTTTGTGAGTATGTCATAGAGCTTTATGGTGACATATATTTGCGACATCCAACTAGAAATGATATCGAACAGTTGTATGTCGCACATGAAGCTAAACATGGCTTACCAGGAATGCTTGGCAGCATTGATTGTACACATTGGGAGTGGGCAAATTGTCCCAATGCATGGCGAGGTCAATTCACACGAGGTGATCATGGCGTCCCGACTATTATACTAGAGGCCGTTGCATCACATGACCTATGGATTTGGCATGAATTCTTTGGTATGGCGGGGTCAAACAACGACCTGAATGTGCTTAGAGCCTCTCCGATATTTAATGATATTTTGCAGGGTAAAGCACCAAACATGCCGTTCGTTGTGAATGAACATCAATATAATTACGGGTATTACCTTGGTGATGGGATATATTCCGAGTACGCTACGTTTGTCAAGTCGTACTCATTTCCGGCCGATGAAAAACGAAAATTGTTCAAGTTGGCACAAGAATCGACAAGGAAGGATGTGGAACGGGCGTTTGGGGTCCTCAAACAAAAGTGGCACATTATCAAACATCCGGCACAGTCATGGGATAGGGTGAAATTGACGAAGGTGTTGACTACTTGTGTTATTTTACATAACATGATAATTGAAGAAGAGGGTAGGACTATTTGTATGTATAATCCGGAAGATATTCTTAATCCGCCTGCAGTAATACAAGTCGGCAGCCCTGCATACTTCACACGACTTTTGGAAATACAAAACAGTGAAACACATCACAATTTACGTTATTATTTGACTGAGCATATATGGCAAAGGCAATTCCAGCAACACGGTGGCAATGACGACGACGGGGATGACGACGAGGATGACGATGAGGAGGACGACGAGTAATATTGTCTATGTTTTTTTTAGTAATTTAGGTTTTAAATGATTATGTTTTTTTAAGTAATGTAGATTTTAAATTTCTGTTTTTAAAATTAATGTAAAATGTTTTTAATTAATATTTATGTTTTTATTTTTGTTTAATAATTATTTTTTAAATTATTCTAATGTAAAAAAAAATAAAAAAATAAAAAGAAAAAATGATGTGGAGTGGTAACCATTTCCAAGAGTTAGTGGGTTGGTAGTAGGTTGGTAGTGGAGGTGATATGTCACTGATGTGGCGTCACTTTTTGAGTAGGCTGAGGCCCTGTTTGGTAGCATCTTAATGCCTCTTAATAAGAGACAGATCTGAATCTTTTTGGTTCAGACCGTTTGGTTACTTCTTATATTTGCATCCGAATCTGAAAATATAATCTTATTCGGTCAGACATAAAGGCACATCTGAAAGGAAAAAAAAGAACGTGTTTCCTTTTTGCCCTAACTCTACCCTCGTCTCTCTTCTTCCGCCCATCGAACACCAACCCCCCATCTCTTCTGTCTCTGCATCTTTGAAGTCACAGAGCACCGGCGACGCCCTCGCACCGCCAGAGCTGACGTCGCACACCATCCCATTGCTGAAATCAAACCTTAGCCAAGCTCTGAGTCGAATCCCCCACTGAGATAATGGGTCTTCATGGTGTGAAATCGAAAATTGTTGTGAGTTTATTGTATCAAATATGAATGCGATTTTCTGAGATGTGAAAACGGAAATCAATTTCAAGTGTAGAAGATGCTCCCTGTTGTCTAAAATATGATCAGAAGAAAACGAAGGGAAGGGGGTCTCCGGTCTTTGGCCGGTCGCGTAGGGCAAACGAAGGCAGACCAAAAAGAAGTCTTTGATTGGGCAAGGTAAGTAGCGACTAGCTTCATTTTTTTGTTTGTTTTGACAGAAATCAAAGGAGGGTATGGAATGTTTGGTTTTGATGTGTTCATCGTGAACAGGTGGAGAAGAGGGGTCGACTGGAAACATTGTGCGAATAGGGGGTATTTGGGTTATGGTCTTCAATGGAAGGAGGGGTGTTTGTGGGTTTTCTGTCGACTGTCAAAGGAGAAGGATGAGGCTGGTACGGTGGTCATGGGCTGTTCCAACAGCCTCTAGCTGTGAAAGAAGAAGAACAAATGGTGTTTTGTTTGGGTTGTTACCTCTTGTGAATGAATGAGTTCCAATGGCTGATTTTTGCTGTTTATGACTTTATGTGCTGATTTTTTATGTTATGTGTTAATTCTTGATGTTATGTGCTAATTTTTTATTTATGTTTAATTTGGATTCTATATGGTTTTTATATATATTTTTATTCTTCACAAGAAGTTCATTTATTTTATAAATAAAAACATTGGATTCAACAAAAAGATAATATATAAGGGTAAAATGATCATTTTTATCATTCAGATCTGTAATTCAGAGGATCCAACCAAACAGTTTTTAAAAATTCAGATCTTAAGTATTCAGACCCTTTTAGAAATTCAGACCTCTTAATTTTTCAGATCTTAAGAATTCAGATCTTGACAAATAGCCCCTCACCATACCCCTTAGCATTAAGGAGGATTGTCGCAGATCGACTGTGATTCATGTTAACATGGTAACATGCGTTGCTGTAATTACAGAAATGGCCCCTGGTATAATGGAATAGGTTATATGTTTAGTCCCCTAGATTAATAATTACAGTTTTGGTCCCTATTGTTTTAAATTTCAATAAGTAAGATTTTAGTTCCTGTAGTTATCCTTTTCAATAATTACATTTAGCTCCCTATAGTTTATTATTTGCATTAGTTAGAGTTTTGGTCCATAGTTGTAAATTGAAAATAGTTATAGTTTTAGTCCCTATAGATTTGGTCCGTGTAGTTTTCACTTTCAAAAATTATAATTTCAGTTCCTATAGTTTATAATTTTCATTATTTACAATTTTGGTCCCTATAATCATGGGCATCCCCACTAGTTCATGTTTATTGTTGGTGACTTTGTTAACTGCAAATTACAATATAATTTTCAATTGTGTTGTGTTTCTTGTACAATATAGTATTTATTGAATAAGACTAGATCGTCAATGGAAATGTATGTTTGCAGCTACTTCACTTAATTCACTTCTAGTTAAGAAACTACTCAAGACTCCACTTTGGACATTCAAAAATAAATACAAATGATTAAGCTTTGAATTTCACAATTTATAGGAATTATTCAAAATTGGAGAGAAAGTCTTAGAAACAGTAAAGAAAAATAGAATTCTTTTCACATGGATCCTATTAAGACTTTAGAAGTCATATGCTAACCTTTCTCTACAATCTAGAAGAAGTCTACAATATTAAAAAAAAAAAAAAAAAAAATTGTCCCATGCTCATCCACCCTATGGTTTAGGATTCAAAAGGTTATTTAGTTATTATTCATAAAATAAGGATATTGTTTCATTTATTTTTTTAGGCACGCTATAAAACTGTGAATTCGAACATAAAGATGTGAGAAGATTCAAAACTTTATGTTAAGGGATATGCCATCTGTATTCAATAAACCGGCTTCTTCATAATTCTCGATCGAGTCTACAATGGTTTCCTCCAATGGCCTGTAATTCCATCCCAAATTTAACAACTTCTTCGTGTTGAATATCGCACGTTCAGTTTTGTTTGGTTCTGTAAAACTGTAATTCCACAAGCAAAATTTATCACCACAATGATCCTGATATGAGGACCTCAAAAACATATAAAAGAAAAGGAAAATTATATTTGAAGAAATTCATACATGTAATGTGCCTAATTTGGGGCAATGACTTTTATGCTACTCACCATTCAGGCTGTTGTGAAAATATGGATTTGGCTTATGACTCTTGTGCTAGTTAAATAAACAAATTTTCAAAGTGAAAATATGGATTTAGGTTTTTTTTGGGACATGGAAGTGTAGGCTGACTCGGGGGTTGTTAGAAAAATATTCTTTTTGTAGAAAATTCAAGCATAGATGGACCCCACATAGTCATAATAGGAGTTACACCCAAGATATTTACATATAAATGATATGCTATATTTAAAACCATAAAATGCTAGAAAGAACTTACTTTTTGGGATAATCATAGTCAGGAAATATGTTTTGCACCTTTGCAACAAACTCCCTTGTCATAAGAGAGTATGAAGAGCATATATATCTCCCCTCGGATTCTTGTTTTTCATACAACAAGACAATTGCGTTGGCCAAATCACGTACATCTACAACAGCCCGTTCTGCATCATCCGTCTTTTTTGTTCCATCACTTCTTCCGTCGAGATCTTCAAAGAGATAATGAATAAAATCATGCCATCTATATTGTTGAATTATGTCATATAACTCATAATGTTTAGTTTCATCACAAAACATCTATTAAATTTGTGTCATAAAAATTTTAATTTTTAGTTTCATCGTTAGTTTTTAATTTCACTGTTAGCTACTAGAAACTGATTTTATGAACTCTAAAAGCAGTTTATTCGACTTTAAAAGTCAAAAAACTATTTATTTCTATGCTTTTCACTTTAGAAGTCAAAGTTAATGTTTTTCACAGTCCATCTCTTCTACGACATTTGCATCCATTACAATTTTCACTTCGAAATTGGTTTATTTGATTTTTAAAGTATTATGAGGTCGAAAGCCAAAATGACATGCTAACTGTTAACAAACAAAAGCACTTGCCTTTTATGTAGCTCAAGAGAAGCAAACTACTAGCGTTTACTGTTGATTGTAACATTGGCCCAATGGTACCTGATGGACAAATAGTCACAACGTTCAATCCAACCTTTTTGGCATACTCCAAAGCCTCACGTTCGGCTAGAGTCTTGGATAAAGCATACCATCTCTAAAATCAATAGTAAAAAATGTCAAATAAGTTATTTACATAAAAAATAATAAGTTTAACAAAATAAGTACCTCGTTGGTTTTGCAATATTCTACATCCGCCCAGCAACTTTCATCCATTTCAAGGCCTTGTGGCCATTCAGGATTTAACATAGCACTAACCATCGAGGAAACAACCACAACCTTTTTTACTTTAACCTCCAAACATGCATTCAATACGTTTCGTGTTCCTTTTATAGCTGGATCGAGGATTTCCGTCTGTAATAATACAAGAATATTATAAGGTCCTACCAATTTTGTCATTATACAAGTGTATTTAAGATTTTATTTAACAAACTTAATATGAACATGACTTGATCCGGTAACCTATATATGTATGTTTGGATTTGACATGATGTTGACAAAATGACTTAAAAAGATTGGGGAAACCATTAAGTCCTAACTTTTATAAAATTGTCCACATTGAAATCTTAATGTGCCATCACTTTCTTTCACAACTATTTAGATGTAGAAGGTCACAATTATAAGTCAAGAAATAGTTTTGTTGCAAAATGATGTGTATTCTCTTTTTAAAAGCTCCCCACACCGATAAGAGTGTACCTATATCATTCGTTGAACTTACGACGACAATAATTGAAGTCATGAAAAATGTTATTGTAACTGTTATTTGTTAAATAAAGTACATGTTATTGAATACTAAACAAAAGATTATATACTTATTTAATCATAAAATAAATACAACTTTTTTGGTTGTCTATAGTATTAGTAACGTGATATTTACTTTTTGGTAATCTTTCAGGGTTTTTTTTTTTCAAAACGACTAAGATATTGTTTGTTTTTTCTAAAAAACCACTTCTGACCATTTATTGCTGCGCCGCGCAGCACTTGGTCCTTCGTAGCTGTTTGTTTTTCAAAAGACTTCTGACTTAAAAACTGTTGTGCGTGTGCTGCGTGGCGTAACACTTGACCCTCTGCTTCAAACCTCTTCACACCTTACTTTAACTTATTGCAACAGTCTGCAGATGTTAAAAAACAAACAGAGTTTTTATTACATGTTGCAGCCGTTTGGTCCCCCTCTTCTGTTACAGAGGATTGCAGAGGTGGTCCGCGGGCTTCATGCATTTTCGCGTCGAAAAAACAAACGACACCTAACTCACACAACCATCTAATCATACTCCTAAATCTACACCTTTTTGTCGACGATAGTACTCAAACCTTGTATTTATTTATTCATATGGTATGTAATAATTAAATAGTTAGTTTTCTATATTTATTTTTGTAAGGAATAGATTAGTTTTAGGAGTAATATATTTTGTATAAAAATATAACAAGAAATGAAGATGCAGCCATTTTTGAAGATCAAATAGGGTGATTTTCGCAACTTTTTTTGTGCAGGGGCACTTGCAACCTTTTCTAAAGGGAGGGACACATTTCCAACACTTCTTATACCGCTAGGCCAAAGGCTTTTTAACTGGTAAATCTTTGGTTTTAAACTTAACATTTTGCCCCACAATAAAACTAGAATTTAATTTAGTCTACAATATACCTCCATGTGTCATATTTGTTAAAGGTTATTTTAGACATCCAATTAATGGTCGAATAGTCTGATTAAACAGTGTATTATGTTAAATATTGCATTTATATTGGTACGAAAAAAATATATTGCTCCTCGTGTTTTCATGATAAGCCCCAACTTTGCTGGTATTTGGCCAAAGGGGTAGTTTGGTCTTTTATTTTTATTTGTTAATTAGTGAGTCTGCAGCCAATCATGGGTGGAAACAATTGTTAGTGGGGTCAGCACATGATTATGTTGGTTGTTATTCTCTTTTGTCTTCTCTGTAGTCGTAGTATAAATAGTCCTTTTGTTTTAGGGAGTCGGGAGCTAAGAATTGATTTGTAAAGAACTTTGCTCTTCTTTTGGAGAGTCCCATTCCTCTCGAATGAATGGGAATTCTATCCTAATTTTCTGGTATTATTGAGTGTTTTGTTGCTTGGAATCTGTTAGAATGCTTGGGGTATATGATAGATTCAACAAGGATCTATCATTTCACTTTTATGTCATTAGTGTCAATACATTATTTAAATTGCAAGTAGCATTTAAATGAATATGTAACCCCATTTGATATATATGTATAAACATCTAATTACGTTATTTGTTGATTTTTAACCTGTTTGCCTCGTTCCTTTTTAGCTAATTAAAATTTTCTATTTTACCATAAGCAATGGCACACAACCCAAGTTGATCCATTTTCACACTTAAAAATATAGAAAAAGAGATTACCTGAGGATCATCAAACTTAAGTGTACCAGGAACAGGAGATGCGATATGAAGAACCCCAGTGCAACCAGCAAATGCAGCACAGAGGCCTTCATAATCAAACAGATCGGCCTTGAAGAGATGCAACCTCTCTCCAGCATTCTCAAGTTTCTTCAAATGACCATTTTTTTCCTCATTACCTGAAAAAATAAGTTATTTTTAAGAAAATTTTAAAAATACAATTATAGGTTGTATAAAGTTTAATGTTCTAAAATAAATTGTGAAAATCATTTGAGAAGATCACTCCTTACCGCTAGGCAACTTGAATATAGTTTATGCAACTTTGAACATATCTCACACGTTTTAATTTTAGTTTATAAAATTGTACAGTTTGTACCAGGTTGACTTGTTGTTAACAACATATGACAATGACTAAAATTTATGTAAATGTTAGGTTGGTTTACCACTTTTATCCTTAGCAAAATTTGAATGTACCTTTTAAAAGTGATTTTGTGGTATTAAATAATCTAAATAAGCATGATCAACTAATAATAAAATGGATTGTAGAAAATGGGAAAAAAAAATTAAAAATAGATGTAAAAGTGTTAATTTAGAGAACCTCCGATTATCAACCTCATGTATAAAGTTTTTTTTTTGCTCTGTTCGCATCACATTTCCACTAACTATATCAAATAAAAAGTTATTAACTTAAACTTTCTCTCCAATCATTGCCCATTTATAATTTTTTTTTAAATTTACTAATTTACCCTTATCTTTTTGAAATATTTTATAAAGTCCCCTAATCTAATTTGTTATCTTTTTAGCATGTGTGATATTTATAAAATTAAAAATTACTTAAACATAATATTAAATATAATTAATATACTTCAATACGTAGGAAGTTAAGTAGATGTAATATGCCAAGGCTGTTTTTTTCCAAATAAAAATGTTGATAAAAATATTATGTATATAGTTATAATTAAAAATTGATTGAAATATCATATGACCATTACCAATATGAATATTTAATAATGGAGATTAAAATGAAGAAAAGAATAATTATTCAAAAAACTAATAAAGCTTGAAAGGTTAAATATAATGTAGAGTAAAATGGAACATTATTGAATAAAGCGGTTAAGTGTACATAACATAAATAGACACACACACAATAGGTTTAGCACGCTGCAACTAGTTTATTTTTCGAATTTTTTAAAGATGTAAATGTTTGACAAAACATATCATCTAAGTATTTAGGCTACTCATAATAATATTTAAACGAGCTTATGGAGTATTTCTAAAATTCTTCTTAAGATACTCTTTATTAACTATAAAAAGTTTATTCCCCTTAAACGGTTGATTTGCATTTGTAGTTGTATTTGTCTTAACTTTGAACAACTATTTGATTTTGTAACTTGTTTAGTTAGATGTGATTTTTTTATTTACATTTTAAAATTGAAATGGTTCAACTTAGGTCCAAAGTGTTTATATAACATAATTTGTTGTAAATCAACTTGATGTCACTATGTTGTATAGTCATGTTCCGCCAGCCGCCCGTGTAATAAGTGTAGACTAAATGAGATGATATTTGAATTTCCACTTGGGAAAAAAAATTAAAGTTGACGATTTATAATTTTGCTTGCTTTTTAAAGTGTTTGGGTAATAGTTCGTTTCTTTAGAGTTAATGCCGCCTGTATTTGATACTAAATTACTAATTTTAAATTTTCCATTTCTCTAAGTCGTGAAGAAACATTATACTTGAAAAACTTGCATATTTTCATCTTATTTAGAGGGTCTTTAGCTAAGGTTATTTAAGAAGCTTTTTAACTTATTACCAATTTTACACATGTATAAGCTAAAACTAATGTTTGGATAAAGACTTTTTTAAGCACTCCCAAACACCCTCTTAATACAAGTACAAATGTACAATCGTTCAAGTAGAAGTAATGGTCATAAATTTTCATGTTTTCAAATTACCATTTCTTTTAATTTTATTCTAGGATTTTTCATAAGTATGAAGAATTAGTGTTATATGTAAGAATAATAATGTATTTTTATTGATCTAATAATTATAATATTTAGTTCCATTCAATGTTGTATTTCGAAATCTATCAAGTTATTATGTATTTATCTGATAATATTGAATATTTTTTACATATCATTTTATGGCATTTTATACTTCACGTCTAGCTTATAGCTGATTTTTACCAAACATAATTTTTTATTATTAGCTATCAACATTTTCACCTAGTGTTCCAAAGGACCACTTTTTTCATAGAAAATGAAGCCCAAAATTTTACAATTTGAGCCTCATTCAATCATATAGTTGATAGCCACTACCTACCCCTATGGAAATTAGGTCAAGTAACTTTGTGTCATGTAAGAAAATCAAAGTGAGCTAAAAAAAGCATGCTCTTTCTTAAAAATAAAAATAAAAATTGTTAGGTTTATTTAAAGAAATCCTTTGTGCTAAAAAGAGGCACCTACAAAATGTGGATATCATTATTCTCCATAGAACCGGCTCATTGTGGGCCTACTTTTATCAAAATATATTAAAATAACTCCATAGGCATAACTCCAGATTTGTGAAATGCTTGACATGTTTCTTTTTTAATCTGTTGCCAAAATTCACGAGCACTATAATTTAAAATAAAAATTATTGTATTGAGTATGGTTCATCCTGTTCAACACGACCACTATAATTTAAAATAACCGGAGCATGACCAAGGGAGATTCAAATCAATATTAAGGCAAATCTTTCTGGGCATAATTTTTCACCCGATCATCAAATTTTAGCATAATCTGCTGCAGGCGATGATAGATCCCAAGCACTTAACGCCTAATTTTTCAACATAAACTACAAACCTAACTAGGAATAAGAGGATTCCAGCGAATGGCCGATGAATGAGGATGAATAAAGGTCGGTTGGTGAAGAATTTCGATCAGAAAGTAGGAAATAGCTAGTAAATAAACATCCAACGCCTAAGGTATCATAAACAATATTCATCCGTTTTCAGCAGAAAGGGAAACAATCAAGTAATTACAAGTTTAATTAAAACCAAAATCAAAGTAAATACATAGTAGAAGGAAGGAATCTGAATGAAAAATCTTACCTGGATCTCTTACAGTGCCATGGACGATGTAACCTTTGGAGAGCAAGAGCTTGACAACCCATGACGCGATATAACCTCCTGCTCCTGTTACACAAACTCTCTCCATTTCTTTCTTCTCTTTCGGTTTTCGTGTATATTTACACTGTTTAAAGAGGACTTTTATAAACAAACAAATACAAATTTGGCATCGTGACTCACAATTGTAAATTTTATATTATTATATTAACAGATTATTTTTTATTTTGATTGACCTTGGAGAAAGGGATGTCATAAGTGGGATGATTCCGTCAACACTCCATCACCGGCGGCAGTGGTGCTGCAGTAGTAAAGAGAAGAGAGAACGGCGCTGGAATATTAAAAGAGAGATTATTAGTTTTTTTTTATTCTTTTTAATTATTATATAAATATTTAAATGAGTAAAAGAAAATAGAAAAAAAAATTAGGAGAGCAAAATAGTATTTTCAAATGCATTTAAATTTTCGAGTAATCAAAATTATGATATTTTCAGTTTTGGACTAACAATACGGAAAAAAAAAATTGTACTCAAAATGCACTTTTTGGTAAACGAGAATGACCAATTTGGCAATTTAGTCTGTATATATTTAAGTCTTTGGATAAGTAAATAACTCCTTCCACTTTGACTTATCTGACCTTTGTCTTATATATAAATAGATGCATATTCCGAGCGTTACCTATGATACAACAATATATTTGAAATCTTTATAAATATATGTTTTGTAAATATATCAATGACGTTGTTAGGAAAAATACCGTAAAAGCCACAATACTTTTTACACCTAATTGAGAAAAGTTCTATTAATTTTTTTTTTTACTCTGGCCACAAATGGGACATAGAGTTATCACTCTAGCCCTTTTAAAGATTTTTATGGTTAACTTTATTAATTTTTTTGCAAAATCAGTCATAAAAGCTCAAATTTAGTCTCTATAATTTGCAAAAAAATTACATCATATGTCCAAAACTCGGTTTTATGTTTTTTAACTTCTTTATTTTCATTTATTTTTTTATTTTTTAGTTAAAACTAAACTTGTTTTTATATTTTTTTTGTTTTTTATATTTTTCGTATTTTTTTATTTTTTTTCGTCGACAGTGGTGGAGCGGCGGCTTCCGGCTTCAACAATGGAAGGACGACGGCTGGAGGATAAGGGGTGATAAGGTGGCGACTAAAGAAGTGAAGCAAGGTTAGGGTTTGAATGAGAGGAGGTGACGGGTTTATGCCCGTCCATTTTCAAACTATTAAGCCAAAACATGCTTTTGGTCCCTCCTCTTTAATTTTTTTTCAAAATAGATCCACAAATTATCATTCAGCCTTTAGCTTCCAAAATCCTTTCAATTTAAGCCCAATAGCTACAAAATAAGTCCAAATATTTTATCCTTAGCCGCATGCTCAAATATTTTTTACACAACAAACCCTGAAAGTACCCTTCCTCACTAAACCCTTTATTTAAATTTCATTTATCGGAATAAAATAATACTTAAAATATATTCCCGAATTTAGGGTTTATTTCCGAAACGGGGTGTTATACTTTATATTGTCAAATTCATATTGAAGAGTACTACAACATTTATTTAGATTGTTTTGGCTAACAATCAACATTTTTATTTCGATTTTTGTGTCGCACACTATTGTACTGTGTCACACTCGAAACTTCGAAAAATCATAACTTCCTTATAAGAAGTCAGATTTAGGCGTTCTTTATATGAATGTTTTCCTAATTATGATTACTGCGATTTTCGTTTAGACCACTTAGGCTAATTAGCAACCTATTTTCGATTCACTTTTTATGACACAGGTTGTCGTATTAGTTTGAACGCGAAACTTAGAAAATTCATAACTTTCTCATACGAAGTCAGATTTAAGTGTTCGTTATATCCACGCTGTCACACCCCCGAACCAAACGGCGGAAACGTCCGGGGGCTTGTGCGTGACTTCATCTTGAAATATCATTACAGTGAATATACATGAAATATAACACATTCATCACCAACATTACATATAACAACTAGCATTGTTCACATCAAGTACATTGTTATAAGTTACATAGTTTCAAGTTTTTAAAAGTACGATAGATGATGTTACACAAAATAAATCCATACATTCTTGCATATCCTTCCTGCTTAACGGTTACCTGAGAATACAAGTTATTTTAAAAACGGTCAACATATATAATGTTGGTGAGTTCATAAGAATGGTTGAATAAAAGTCTTGTATCTTTCGTAAAAACCCAGAAAATCCGATATTTTCTGTAAATTGTCTGAAAATTATGTGAAAATCAAGTATAAATGCATGTGTGAATTTCATAGTTATAACTTGTATGGGTGTAGTTTAGATTCATTGTATTGTGAATAAATGATAAATGTATATGAATAATTTCCCCAGAAAATCCGATATTTTCTGTTTTATAACAATGTCTAGATTCTTGTATCGTTAAATAAGTCGTTTTGCATTGACACAATCGAAGAGTTTATCTTCGAAAGGTTAAATTTTTGGTATTGAATCCCTATATGAGTCGTTATAACCATGCATGATAATGAATAGGTTGCCCGTCTTGGCATTTTTCCAAATGACGGTATTGCTCAAGATTTTGTCGCCCTAGACTGGCCTAGTCTAGCTGTAGCGAACAACTAAGGCGTGGGGGGTCACCCCATATAGATCTATACACAAACTCCCGCTTTCCTACCAGGAAACTTTGATTATAACTACAGGCTACGATTGTACACTCAGAGGTGCCAACCAACATGTCTCACTAGATTCTCAACCCCTTTTTGTACTATGTTTAATGTTTACGTATATGTGGTATGTTTTCGTATTCGAAAGGTACATATATAAGTATACGAAGTTTAATGATTACGCAAAGGTATAGTTACAGTCTACTGGCATGTGAAATTTCCATTCCAAGCCCTATTAGCATGTAATTAGACTACAAAGGCCCAATAACATGTAAGAGGGTAATTTAGGCCCAATAGACATGTAAATGGGCCACAAGAGCCCAATAAACATGTAATCCATAACTTAGGCCCAAATTAACATGTAAGTGGGTCGCAAGGCCCAATAAACACGTCATGGAAAACATTGGGCTCAATATACACTTAAATGGGCCCTTATGGCCTAATGGCCAAGTAACGTGACTATTAGGTCCAATAAATAGTTATCGACGTATTTCGTTCATTTGTTTTGTTCCGTTGTTTGTTTTAGCTCGAGGTTTACTAGATTGATGATAAAAAGCTTTCTTTTTGTAAAAATGACATTTTTGGCCAATAATCCTACAAATTTTCAATTAAGGCCCAAAGTTTTGTAAAAATGACATTTTAGTCCATAATTTATAAAAATTTGCAATTTTGTCCCAAATGTTTAGAAATTCACAAATTTAATCCAAAATTTTATATTTTGACATTTATGGCCTAGTTTTGCAGAAAATTGCATTTTCAGCCTCTTGTTTGTAAAAGTTGTCACTTTCGGCCCAATCTTTGATAAAAGTTACATTTTTGGTCCAATTTAGGAATAAATGTTATTTTTACCCCAAAAATTGGTTTATTTACATTTATGATTCAAACTTTGGCCAATTTACATTTTTAATCCCTAAAACCTCATTTTTTCGCAATTTTGGGCCCAAAACCGTGAGGCCCAAAAATTTGGCCCATTAAGCTAAAATTTACATTTTTGGCCCTTTTGGAAAGTATGTTTATCATAAAAAATCCCTTTTTATACAAGTAGGACCTGTTTGGTCCCTATAAAAACATAAATGTCACTTTTTGCCCTTATCTTTTGTTTTCTTGACATTTTTGACATTTAACAAGGTTTTTGTTGAAATATTTTGTATCTTAAACATGTAATCACTTTTGGCTTGATAATGTGATGTATATAATGTGATGTATATAATGTGATAGTTCATAGATCTTTGCTCAATATTACTTAAAATTTCGAGATTTGCTAAGATCTAACACATTTTTACCAATAAACTAAGAATTCACACAAAACATGCATATAACACATAGATTTACACATTTTACTTGCATTCTCCCCCAAAAATCATATGAAAACCGAAAACAAGGGGGTATGAACTCACCTTTGCTTGATATTTCGGTTTTTGAAGAAGAAATGAAGGGATTTTTGGTCCTAGCAAGCTTTCTTGAGTGGATCTCGAACTTAGGAGGTTTCTAGGAGTATGATCACAAAGATTTGTTTAGAAGGAGTGATCTAACATGAGAATGAAGTTATACAACTTGGATATGTAAGGACTTACCAAGGAAATGATGATTTTTGGTGGTGAAAACCTTCTTGAAGATGCTCAAAATCTCGAAAATTTGAGAGGAAAGGAAAAAGGATGTTCTTGGGTGTTATTAGAGACTGTTTGATTTGTGTGTGTATGTGTGTAATTGCTCTCGGCCAAGGGATAAAGAGAAGAGAGAGTGAGATGATTTTGCATGGAAACATGAGATGACTTAGTTTTTTGAGGTGTAATATGCTTAGTTGTCCACCAAATAAAAATAAGGTGGCATGGCTTGGAGAATTAGCCATTTCTTTTTTTAGTGATGGGCCGAGAATTGCAATTATGGGGAAACTTGGGCCTTGTCTTGTTCCTTGCTCGAAATTATGAGGCCCATAAAGAAGTTTTCGGCCCATTGGGCCTTTAGGGTAGTTCACCGCCCAAAATGGCATAAAAGAATGGATTTATGGCTTACTAGGTTTAATTGGATTAGCTATGGCCCAATAAGGCCCATTAGGGTTAGAATGAATCATTCTAGGCTCAAATAGTCCAAAATGTTATAGATTTATGAATTGGGTCCATTTAGAATCCAAATGGGGTTTCCAAGCCCAAAATAGTTGAATTGAATGTTTATTGGTCCATTAGGCCCAATAAGGAAATCCTAGTCTATAATGGACTTAAACCGGGATCCTTAGGGTTTTCAGCCCTTAGCTGAACACATGAGATGTATTTGAACGAGCATAGAGTATGATATTCTCTTAGAGTACAAGTTATTACACTAGGTGAATGATTTCATGAGAGTAGAATTTCCTAGCAAAAATGCTAGTTGTGACACACGCGCTCATGATTACGACTATTACAACTTTCGCTAAGATTATTTATCCTAAATATATTTTATCGCTTCAACGATAAATTTTATATTAAGGTTTTCTACAAATATTATATAATCCTAATATTTGTCCACTTAACGTGTATACGATAAATATTTATTTCTCACAACACATATGAAGAACAATTACTCTAATCAACGATTTTAATTGTTCGATAAAATGTATAATTATTATTATTATACTTTAAATGTCTAGCCCAAAAATGCAAACGTTATACATTAGGATTCCATACGGCCCTCATCATGGAATAAGCTTTTGCTAATATCGGTAATATCGGCAGGTCATCTTATGATTGCGTAGTTGTACGTAATCAAGAATGAGATAAACATTCAAATAAATTCCACAACCCTAAGGCCCTAATCAAACAAGAACATGCAATAAGGTAGAATTCTAAGTCTATCTGATCCTAATTCCATACAACCTTTTAGCATACACTTAACAA